TTTTTGATGTTGAAAACATTATAGCCCGTAAACAAAAAGTCAAAAAGAAAAATCTAGATTAGATATCTGAGATAAAATTGTGAGTGCGATCAGATGAAGTTCTCGAAGGGTTGTAGTGTATACAGATGAAAACCCGTAGAAGAGCATGTCAGAAAATTCTGGCAAAAAAAAATAGCTCGTAAGCATCTGAACTTCTTTTGTAGAAGTGTTATAACTTTTAATCGAAATATCGCTAAGATCTGGAAGACGTTTCATTTTATTTAGAACTGTTTGATGCTCTACTTGCTAAACTCTTCATTCCTGATGGAAAATGGGCACCTTGAAAGAACGTAACAATAACGTTCTTGGAAGAGAATAATACTTTTGCAAATGAGTTTTTCCAGACATTATTTCCAAAATACGAGAAAATGAAACATTTATGGTTTCAACTAATTCTTTTCAATGTTCAAATGTTCAAAGTACGCTTTAAACCCGTTGCCATCAGGTGATGCACACATAATTCCCACTTGTGTCTTCTCACGTTCTGGCAGATATGTTAATCTCATCATTTTATAATTTTTATCACCCTGATCATCATATTCAATGTGAAGTGCTTCTTTTGACCGTTTAACACGCAGCCACAATGCAGTTAAATTATCCTTCATTGGGATAATTGACCAATCGGAAAAACCATCTCTCGTTACAACAACACTTGCATATTGTTTCGAATCGACAAATTCGATACCGCATTTAAGCCAATTTTCTTCATCTAATCGAACCATTATACCGGCTTGATCATATAAATCACGATATTCACCGCGGACGAGCACTTCACAAGCGAAATTACCGGTCATTGTCTTTGAATAGAAATGACCATTATCTCGAATAAATCCGTAGTGTGTCTTTCTCCAAAAATCCGTTTTTTCATCTGTTTGTACAGTAATTATTTTTGTGTTATCGTCTACATGCCACGTTTTGGGAGGATTCAACCATTCATATGACATTTGCTTTACGTGTACAAGAAGATACGAATTTAACAAGGAGCAGGAATTACGTCTACAGAACAGAAATGGAATATTATTTTCATATGCACACGTAACATCGTCCTTGCCTTATTTTTGGCTAAGAAGAAAAGCTTTTTAATACAAAAAATAGTTTGTCATCATACGATCAAAGAAAGGTCAAGATAAGATACAATGACGAGCTACTATGGCTTTTCATTGTTTCTTCATGCATTTTTTACATGCATGAAAAAATGTAAAATTTCATTATAAATTTTGACGAAATATTCCCAGTATTCACTCGTGACTCGAGTTAGCAATAATCTGACAGTTTGAGTCTTCACTGCTGGTCTCTTGACTTTAGTCTAGGGTCCTACAAAAAGCTTTTACATTCTGTCTGTCCGCAGAAAAATGAAAAATGTCTCTGGTATTCTATGGAC